AGCCTGGAACTCACTTTATGTCTAGGCTAGCCTCAAACTTGGAATTCTCCTGCCTCAGCCTTCCAAGTGCAAGCACTACAGACAGGACTCACCACACCAGCTTTTCTTCACCTCATCTTGAAGTGCTGATTTTTCAGGCGGGGTTTCCTCTCGAGACATATCTTCCATCTCTCTGCTTGGGGTGGGTTTAGGTGACCTCTTTTCTGACGTTGCCTGTGTCCCTTGACCCTGCACATCCTGAACTTTTCTGCAGTGAAATAGGCAGAAGGGGACTATGCTTCCTCCTGAACCCGCTCCTCCCAGCTGAAACCACACCAGACTGAGCACCAGGGCTCTACTCCCTGTAGACTTTCATGCTGGGCTGCCACGTGGCATGGATTTATGGACCTATTTTGCTCAAGTCTTGCAAGCCTGTACCGAGGGCACCAAGTGCGGCATGCATGCTTAGCATTTGCAAAGCCCTGGATCTGATCTTCAGCACCACAATTAAAAGGGAAAAAAAATTCTCTCAGGTCTCCAGTCTCCAGAAACTTCTCAGGATCGGCTTCTCCACTTTCCTGACTCTTAAGCCACCCTTTGGGGGCCTGTGGGTATCTCTGTTCTCCACCTGCCCTCTCCTCTTTGCTTTCTGTTGGTCCTGGGAAGAACAGAAACTTCTAGACTCCAGCCCACCCCTTCCCTTCCCAGAGCCCAGGACACATCATCTTTGATTTGTCCCTTTGTGGACAAGGGGACACTTTTGATGGTGGTACAAGCCTGCAAAGCCAGTACTTTGGAGACTGAGGCAGGAGGACCACATATTTGAAGCCATCCTGAGATGCGAAACAAGATTCTATCCCCCCAAACAAACAAGCTAGATGTAATGGTTATGTTTGACCCTGAAGTCCAATCACGGAGGAGGAGTCGCCCCAAAAAAGCACTTTCACAATGCAGTTGATGTAAAAGCACAGGAATTTTTAATGAATTCTGTTGCAACAGTGTCTCTCAGCATTCAAGAAGCCAGAAAGACCCCGAATAGCTGCTACAGGCTACTTTTAAAGCAAAAAGCCACAGAAACAAGTGGGGAGTCTGGGAGTTGTTTTTCCAACTATTAGGATTGGCTGATTCCAAGGGCTATTAACAATAATTGGTCCGAGCAAGGCCTGGAGGGCAGTTGCCAGATCAGGTGAGGTAAGAGGAAACATTTGAGGATTACCTTGACCCCTTCCCAGGGACTGATTCAAAACATCAGGAACTGAGTCAACATCTAAGGGTTATCTTGCCCCAATTTCAACAACTGAGTTCTATCTGGAGTACATCCACCACATTCCAGTACATGCATGTGAAGTGTTTAGGTCCTTGATTCCCATGGGAGGGGAAGCACTAAGGCTGAGAGGCCTCAGAAAGGGCCTCAAAGTTGTCAGAAATGGCTTCAGAGTTCTTCTAGAGTTTTACAATTAGTTCCTGTAACGAAGCACGGAGGAGGGTGAGGCTAGAGGATTTTTGTGATTAGAGGCAACTAGCCTGAGCTATATAGTTGCTTTCAGGACAGCCAAGGCTGCAGGGTATGGTCCTTTTGCAAAACAGCAAACAAAACAAAACAAAAAAGACAACAAAGCCAAAATCCTGTGTGTGGTAGTGGTACCTGTAATCTAACTCTTGGGAAATGGCCGCAAGAGAATCAGAAAGCCAAAACCATACTCAGCCAGACAAGGAGTTAGTTGCCAAGCTGGGCTACCTGAGAACCCCTCAGGCCTGTCTCAAACAAACAAACTGGACATAGTGACACACCCCTGTATTGCCAATGCAAGAAAGGTTGAGGCAGAATTACCATAAGTTTGAGGCCAACATGAACGACAGTAACAACAAAACAACAAAGAAATCAAGGGACAACTGGCTGCACAGGCTGGCAGAAAGGGAGCTAAGGCGCAGTTTCAGAACACATTGACATGTCCCTGGGCTCTCGTGGTCTTGGGGACTGACCACAGGGCTTTCCTTCTCTTTGCTTTCACACCAGATTCTAGGGACCAGACAATGGTGTCTACTCTTTTTGGATACCCTCCCCCTTCAGACAAGAGTACCAAGGCTCTGATGCAAACCCCACAAGCCCATTAGCTATGTTGCTGAGCAGGATACAAGATCTCAGGCAGCCCCTGCCTCCACTCTGGAGACTGAATCTGCCCTGATATCTTATCGCAGCCTGTTGGTAGCTGGGAGATGCCATGCAGAACTTGCTCCCAGGGAAGAAGGTTGTAAGAGGAGGGGTGATGGCTGAGTAGGCAGGTGAGGTTTCCAGGAGGCAGAAGGAGCAGTCTTTCCAGTCCAGCGATCTCTCATCCCACAGGGGCACTTAACTCCCTCCTGGATCTTCCACAGAGGCCAGCAGGGTAACAGAGTTACCTAGATTAGGCCCTGAAGCTATAGGCAGCACAGCAGGCTTCTGGGGTAAAGGTTCCAAGAACCAGGATGGGTGAAGAAGGAGGGCCCGAGAAAAAGGACTTTTGGGACTGTCAAAATGGAGTCTGAGCCCTATGGGCAGAGCCAGGTTCTAAGTCCTTGTGGAAAGGCAAAACAAGTTTTTGAAGAGTTTTTGGACTGAGGGGGAGACAGCCCTGAACCTCAGGAAACCTCCCTCTCCTGAGAGGACGTGGTCCCACTGTCTGGGCTTCTCCTAGAGGGCCTTCAGACTGACAAAAGGTAGCAGGCCCTGTGTCAGAGCTCAGAAGGATGAAGTTACCTCAGAGGGCCCCGTGGAGATGCAGGATGGAGAGGATGACAGGCTTTGTCCATTGAGGAGGGGCTCAGGTTTAAAAAAAAAATTTTTTTTTCAAGACAGGGCTTCTCTGTGTAATCCTGGTTATCATGGAACTCACTCTGTACACCAGGCTTGAAGAGAAAGATGTGCATGCTTCTGCCTCCTGAATGCTGGGAATAAAGGTGTACACCACCACACCTGGCCTTTTAAAATACTTTTAAACTTTTTTGTTTGTTTTGCTGTATGAGACAGGGTCTTTCTGTGTAGTTCTGGCAGTCTTGGAACTAGCTCTTTAGACCAGCATGGCCTCGAACTCAGAGATCTGCCTGTTTCTGCCTCCAGAGTGCTTTGTCTGGCCTTATAGTTAATTAGCTAGTTAATTAATAGGTTAATTAATTAATTAGTTAATTAAGTAATCTATTTATTAATGTTTTTCGAGACAGGTTTTCTCTGTATAGCTCTGGCCATCCTGTAACTTTCTCTGTAGACCAGGTTGGCCTTCTACTCACTTGGGATTAGTGATATGCATCACCAACACTCAGGTACTTTTTAATTTTAAAATGGTTTCATTGTATAGCCCAGTCTGGCATCAGATTCTCAGCAACTTTCCTTCCTCAGCCTCCTGAGTACAGGCATGCTCCTCAGTGATTGGTTCATCAGTCTTTACAGGGCACTAGCGATGTAACACCTGGGAGCATGCTTGCCTAGCATGGATGAACCCAGGGAGCATGCTTGCCTACTAGCGTGGATGAAGCCTTAGCAATGCACAATCTTAGTGCCTACAAGGTAGAGGGAAGAAGATCAGGGTTCAAGGACAACATCAGCTACAAATCAAATGAGATCAGCCTGTGCTATGCGTCTAAAACAACACTTTGGGGAGAGAGTTAGATCTTTCTGGAGCCTCCAACATATTCCTATGTTACACTGCCCCAAGGAGGAAACCATGTGGCCTTAAACTCCAGTTCACCAGAATCATTAGGAATTCCTAAGACACCTCCTCTGGCAGCCTTCTCTCCACAGTGCCACCATTAACAGTTAATATCCGTACCTGGAATTCAGACCAGCATAGTCCCTCCTGTTACTCCCGAAGTCACGGATGGCTTTGTGGGGCTGCCTGCTCCATTACAGAACGCTGCCTCGGTTGACCGTCACCAAGGTGTTTCTTTCCACCCACAGCACCCAACAGGAAGAAGGGCAGAGAACAGTGGGCCCTGTGCCCACAAAAGAAGAGGGGAGGGAAAATGGGGGCCACAAGCCTCTCTGCCCACCAGGCAGGCTCCAGATAGGGCTGGAGATACCCAAATGTTAATCACCCATTAGCACAGCCCAGGTAGAAAGGTAAGCATCATTAGGTTACAGTGGGTTTCACCAGGCAGTAACAGTGGGCAGGAGTCCCCTAGATAAGAGGCTTCCAGAATACTCAGTGCCTCTGCGGTGCCTGGATATAAAGAGGCCAAGACAGGGTCTTGAAGCAGGATCCTGCGAGCCAGCAGGTAGAAGGGAGGGACCCTGTCCTGCCCTGTGGAAAAGCTGGAAGAGCAGTCGGGTAAGAGAGAGGCTGGGAGAGTGATGGGCTGGTCTGGGCGGAAGTGGCTCTCCTGGCTCTTTACCCTGATTCCTTGTCTGAATGGGAATCTAGAAGATAGTTCAAAGGGATTCCTAGGAAGACCAGGTCTCGCAGCCTTAGGCTAGCTCTGGCCCTCAGGGATCTGGGGGAAGGTTTCTTCCTGCCTGCTGTTTCTCCAGAAGATTGAAAAGGGATGAGACCACAGAAGAAGCTCAGCCCAACCTTTAGGAAGAACTGCTGAGCCACGATAGTCAAGCCCAAGACGGTGTGTGTGTGTGTGTGTGTGTGTGTGTGTGTGTGTGTTCAGGATGGTTCTCTGTGTGCCTTTCATCTCGGGGAGGGATATGATGGCTGAAAACAGTTTGTTGGAAGCAGGAAGGTGGGCTGCTGAGAACTTTGTCAGGGCTTTAAGGGGATAATCTTGCCAAATCCTATCCCTGTGATGTCTGGTAATGAGCCAAGAAGGGAGTTCCCACCACCTAGGCCTTTGCTACTTTCTTCCTAGTCCTTGCTTCAGATTACACAAAGCGGGACCAGCTCTGGGTCAAGGCTCATGTCCCTTCCAGTCACTTCGTGTAACCCCACCCCAGCTCTCAGCATTCACCCAAGTCCCAGCCTCAAGTAGCCTCCCTGATCCCCCGCCCCCCCCCCCCTGATTGCAGTATGACTTGTTTTCCTCTCAGCTCGAGCACACAACCTAGGAAGATGGTGACTATGAATATCTGCCCTCTCCCGCTGGTGCTGCTCTTCCTGGCGACCACACTGGGAGAAGAAGAAGTTCAATTCAGGTAGGATTGGGAGGTGGAGGGGGCTAAAATATAAACTGCATTGGGGTGGGGGTGTTGAAAAAGAGAGGGACTCCATGCCGAGCGGAGGGAGTGGAGGGATTGGAGGGAGAGCCAGTCTGCAGCCTGAGCACACAATGAGGACAAAACTGGAGAGTTATGTATTAAGAGTTCCCGTGGGAGTGAGGAAGACTGTGCTTTGCCAGGTCTGAGGAAGGCCCTTTTGGTGGCAGAGAGTCTGCAGTGTAGGGTGTCCCTTGGGATAACTAGCCGTCGCTGATGCATGTATGCATTCACTGGGATCTCACAGGAGCTTCCTGGGCACCAGACGCAGGGCAGACAGTTGTAAACCAAGGGCCACTGCTGGCTACTGCCTTCAGTGACTACAGGGACCAAGGTAGGCACAGACACGGACCACATAACCATGCTCCAGCGGACCAATGCCAAGGCAGACAGTGTCGTGCTGAGTGTGGCAGCTCGCTCCTGCAACTCCAGTCCTTGGCAGGCAGAGGCAGGGGCATTGAAAGTTTGAGGCTAGCCTGGGCTATAAAGCAAGACCAGAGTCTAGAGTGAGAGAAAGAGAAGAATGAGGAGGAGGAGGAGAAGTTGAGGGTAAGTATAGCCAGGGCTCTGATGTGTTTGGGGACCAAGGCTGAGACTTGTCAAAGCAGTACCGGCTTTTCTCAGATGAAGGACAATCCATATATGATACAAAGCTGGCACGTGGGAAGTGTGAGGGAAAGCTGGCAGACATCCTTACAAGGAGAGCAGACCTTGAGTTTGTTAAGAACAAAGACTCAGACCGGGCAGTAATGGTCCATGCCTTTAAACCCAGCACTCAGCAAGCAGAGGCAGGCAGATCTCTGAGTTCAAGAGCAACTGGTCTACAGAGAGAGTTCCAACACAGCCAGGGCTACACAGAGAAACCCTGTCTCATAAAACAAAACAAAAATAAAAATACCAACAAAACAACTACAAGAAAAGAAAACTCACTGACAACAATGGTAGCACACGTCTTTAATTCCTGTGCTCTGAAGACAGAGGCAGGCCGTGAGTTCCAGCCAGGGTTAAAGAATGAGACCCTGTATCAAAGAGAGAACAGAGACTCAGGAAGTCAGTGTGGTGCTGCCTACCTCCCAGAACAAGTGAGAGGGCACAGCGAGATCAGGAGTTCACGGGGAACTTCAGTAACACAGTGAGTTTGAGGCAAGCTGGAATACAAGAGACCATAACAAACCACTCTTAAACAAAACAACAGCAACAACAAAAATCTCAGAGGGTTGGGGCTGGGGAACACGCCTCAGTCTTACCTAGCATGCATGAGACCCACAAATTCTACTCCTAGAATTGAGACAACAGACTTGGGTCCGTCCCAGGAACCTGGGATCAAATTAACTAGCTGAATCCCAGATCAGCCATTTATACTGTGTGGCAGCAAAGTGGTGGCCAGGGGACACCTCTGTAGAGTTCTTTCTCTTCTACCACCTCTTTGTGCCTTCTGGGTTGAACTCAGATCGTCAGACTTGTGTCCTTGGATGGCAAGTGTCTCATTTACAAAATAGGGACACAGAAACTAGTCAAACTTGTGGTGGTGGTGGTGGTTCAAGACAGGGTTTCTCTGTGTAGTCCTGGTTGTCCTTGTCCTCGAACTCACTCTGTAGACCAGGCTGGTCTTGAACTCAGAGATCTCGTGCCTCTGCCTCCCTACTACTGGGACTAAGGTGTGTCCCACCTCCCACGAGGCTAAGAGTGGTGAAACCTTGTTTTAATTTTTATTTATGTGCATTGGTGTTTTGTCTGCATGTATATCCGTGTGAGGCTGTCAGGCACACTTGAACCGGAGTTATAGACATTTGCCAAGACCACCTGGCAAGGTCCTGGGTTTGATTCCACCACCACGTAAAAGGAGAGGGGAGGGCTGGAGAGATGCTCCGTGGTTAAGAGCGCTGGTTGCTCTTCCTGAGGACTCAGTTCCTAGCACCCTCATGACAAGTCAGTCTAACTCCAGGTCCCTGGGATATGATGCCCTAACACAGATATCCATGCAGGCAAAACACTAATGTGCATAAAATAAAAGTAAATTTTAAAAATGATTAAAATCAAGGTGGCACACATCTTTAATCCCAGCACTGGAAAGGCCGTGGCAGGTGGCTCTCTGTTGAGTTTGAGGCCAGCTTGGTCTACAAAGTGAGTTCTGGGTCAGCTAGGACAGTTTCACAGAGAAATCCTGTCTTGAAAACAAGAAAACAAACAAATACAAAACAAAAAAGGAGCAATGAGAAAAATAGCATGTCTCATGGGGTTGGGAGGAATAATTTATTGTTATTCTTCTTCTTTTTTTTTTTTTTTAGTTTTTCTATTATGTGGGTCCTGCGGGTTGAACTCAGGTTGTCAGGATTGATAGCAAACTCCTTTATTTCTTTATTTTTTTAAAAAAATATTTATGTATTTATGATGTATACAGCATTCTTCCTGCATGTATATCTGCAGGCCAAAAGAGGGCACCAGATTTCATCAGATGGTTGCTAGTCACCATGTGGTTGCAGGGAATTGAACGCAGGACCTCTGGAAAACGGCCAGTACTCTTAAGCTCTGAGCCATCTTTTCAGCCCAGCAAAACCCTTTATTTGCCAAACAATCTCACCAATCCCTGAGTTCACTATTACTATAATCATTTTAAATATACTTATCTCTATTTTTATGTTCTTTGGTGTTTTGTCTGCATGTTAATGTGACAGTGTCAGATATTGTATTACACACAGTTATTAGCTGACATGTGGGTGCTGGGAATTGAACCTGGGTCCTCTGGTAGAGCTGAGGGTCCTGTTAGCCACTAAGCCAACACTTTATCACCTGGTTTTTCCTTTTTTTTTTTTTTTTTTTTTTTTTTGCTGGTTTTGAAACAGGGTTTCTGTGTAGCTTTGGAGCCTGTCCAGAGATTTCTCTTTTCGACCAGGCTGGCCTCAAATTCACACAGATCCCCCTGCCTCTGCCTTCGAGTGCTGGGATTAACGGCGTGTGTCACCACCACCCTGATTTATTCATATTATTGTTATTTTTCTGAGACTTGGTCTTTCTTTGTAGCTCTAACCTTCCTGACACTCACTGTGTAGACCAGGCAGGCCTTGAACTCACAGAGCTTGGTCTGTCTCTGCCCCCTGAGTGCTGAATACTATTGTTATTACTTCATTCTTACTATTATTTAGATGATCTCTTGTTACATAGTATAGACTGACCTTGAACTTTCAGTGATCCTCCTGCCTCAGCCTTCCAAATACTGGGATTACAGGCATGCACTCTCAGGACCAGTTGAGTTCAGTTTCTTACATTGAACCAAAGGACTTAATCAAGCAATGTGACGTGCCCAACCTTTTTCCCATCCCTGGGATCCTGGTTTCTATCTCTCGCCTCTCAGATCCCAAGCTAAATCGGGTAGCCTCCGGCCTCGAGGCCCGAGGTATGCAGAGGGGACTTTAATCAGCGATTACAGCATCCTCATGGACAAGATCCGCCAACACGAGTTTGTGAACTGGCTGCTGGCCCAGAAGGGGAAGAAGATCGAGTAAGTAACTCCCTGCACTCCTCCTGTCCCCACACCAAACTCTGCTATGTTCACACTGCCTCCTAGGAGACCATACAGACCGTGAGGTGCACAACCCCACAGACACCTTTTAGTCAATGAGGAGGAGGTAGTGGCCGCGTCCTGAGTCTCTGACTGGGCAATAGAGATGTCTGCTGCAGATGAGGTGTTCTCCTGTCCTTTATTTCTAAGGGAAGAGCAAGAGAAGAGTGTAGAAGCCCCAGAGGGTCCCCAGACTTCTGGAGATGAAGGCAAAAGGAGCTGGGTTGCATGATGGCTTCGGACTCTGTAGATAAATCACCATTGTGATTCTCCCAATCTATGCATAACCTTGTTGTGCTGCTGTTTCCTCAGCCTGGTGGATTCAGAGGAGCCCTCCGTGATGGAGGCAACTGAACAAAAGCAGTGGTGGGGTATATGGGTTAGAATGTGGAGGAAGAGGCACTGTTGCTCCTACTGTTGAGGTATCAAAGATGTCAGTGTCCCTGGGTGGGGGACTTCCAACTGTTCCTCCAGTTGGCTCACCCCCAAATCGTCTTCATCTCACCAGCTGGAAACACAACATCACCAAGAGAGAGGCCCAGGTCTTGGAGCAGGCAGGACAATCTGAGAGAAATGAGGAGACAGAGGGACAACAGAGGTGAGTCCACCATGAGGAGAGAGGGGAACAGCCTCCAGCCCATTGGCTTCACTGCTCCCTGAAGCAGGTCTTTTCTTTGGACCACTAACCAGCTAACAAATCGTGAAGGGAGACTTGATTTAGTTATGATGCTCAGCCTTAGCTTATGCTTGTACCATTAGCTCTTATAACTTATCTATTTCTCTCATCTACATTTCTCTTCTAGGCTTTTTTCTTTTTCCCAACCTAGGTCTGTCTGTCTGGCAGCTAGGTAGCAACAGACTTGCTGACTGGCCCTGGGTGCCTCCCCTTCTTTCTCCTTCCTTCTCTTCTCCCTTTTTACCATAGCCTAGATTCCTTCTATGTGTTCTCTTTGTCTGACACTTCCTGCTATCCTACTACTGACAAGCTTTAGGTTTTTTGTTTTTGTTTTTTTATTTTTTGATAAAGATTTATTTATTATGTATACAGTGTTCTGCCCACAGGCCAGAAGATGGCACCGGGTCTCATTAAAGGTGGTTGTGAGACACCATGTCATTGCTGGGTATTAAATTCATGACCTCTGGAAGAGCAGCCAGGTCTAGTATTTCCCTCTGAGGCATATCTCCAACCTCTAGTGGTCAGCTTTTTATTAGACCAATCAGGTGTCTTAGACAGGCAAGGTGAAACAGCATCACGTCTTTACATAATTAAACAAGTGCAATATAAACAAATGGAACACACTTTTATATGGTTAAGTGATCTACAACAGCGCCCTCTCTCAGACTGCAGAGGAGGGCTGAGACTCCCTCATAGGAACCCCCTTCTTGCCGGGAGGTGGTATCTTTTTGAGTTCAAGGCCAGCCTCATCTACAAGAGCTAGTTCCAGGACAGGCACCAAAGCTACAGAAAAACCCTGTCTGGAAGAAAACAAATAAACAAACAGAAAAACAATATAAAACAAAACTTCTCTAAGCTCAAAAGAGTAAAGTCCTGGAGGATGCCCTGAGGGCTTTCTAAAATCTGTGACTGAATGATATTCTTGGATTCATTGTAGCCAGGGGAGCAGGGAATGAGGGACCTTAGAGTTGGCTTCTCCTTGCCAAGCCTCAGGAAGGCAGTTTTGGAGACCAGGGCATTCTCCCAAAGCCAGACCCCTGAAATCAGCCTCCCATTCTGGGAAGAAGTGATGAATGGATGCTCAGGGACGGTCTCTCCGGGGTCACTGGGATGCAGTCTGCGATGCTGTTAGAGGTGGGTGGATAAGCTGTGTCACTACCAAGCTTTAATCCCTAATATTGGGAATAATGCTGTGCCCCACCACGCACGAGGCTAAGAGTGGTAAAACTTTTTTCAGTCTTTATTTGTGTGCGTTGGTGTTTTGTCTGCATGTATATCTGTGTGAGGCTGTCGGGCACATTTGAACTGGAGGTACAGACATTTTCCACCACCCCCTGGCGAGGTCCTGGGTTTGATTCCACCACCACATAAAAGGAGAGGGGAAGGCTGGAGAGATGCTCCGTTATTAAGAGCACTGGTTGCTCTTCCAGATGACCAGGGCTCAGTTCCCAGCACCTTCATGACAAGTCAGTCTAACTCCAGTTCCTGGGTTCTGATGCCCTCACACAGACATCCATGAGGGCAAAACACTAATGTGCATAAAATAAAAGTAAATTTTAAAAATGTTTAAAATCAAGGTGGCACACATCTTTAATCCCAGCACTAGAAAGGCCGTGGCAGGTGGATCTCTGTTGAGTTTGAGGCCAGCTTGGTCTACAAAGTGAGTTCTGGGTCAGCTAGGACAGTTTCAGAGAGAAATCCTGTCTTGAAAACAAGAAAACAAACAAATACAAAACAAAAAAGGAGCAATGAGAAAAATAGCATGTCTCATGGGGTTGGGAGGAATAATTTATTGTTATTGTTATTATTATTAGCAAACTCCTTTATTTCTTTATTTTTTTAAAAAAATATTTATGTATTTATTATGTATACAGCATTCTTCCTGCATGTATATCTGCAGGCCAAAAGAGGGCACCAGATTTCATCAGATGGTGCTAGTCACCATGTGGTTGCAGGGAATTGAACGCAGGACCTCTGGAAAACGGCCAGTACTCTTAAGCTCTGAGCCATCTTTTCAGCCCAGCAAACCCCTTTATTTGCCAAACAATCTCACCAATCCCTGAGTTCACTATTACTATAATCATTTTAAATATACTTATCTCTATTTTTATGCTCTTTGGTGTTTTGTCTGCATGTTAATGTGACAGTGTCAGATATTGTATTACACACAGTTATTAGCTGACATGTGGGTGCTGGGAATTGAACCTGGGTCCTCTGGTAGAGTTGATGGTCCTGTTAGCCACTAGGCCAACACTTCAACACCTGGTTTGTCCTTTTTTTTTTTTTTTTTTTTTTTTTTTTTTTACTGGTTTTGAAACAGGGTTTCTGTGTAGCTTTGGAGCCTGGCCAGAGATATCTCTTTTAGACCAGGCTGGCCTCAAATTCACACAGATCCCCCAGCCTCTGCCTTCGAGTGCTGGGATTAACGGCGTGTGTCACCACCACCCTGATTTATTCATATTATTGTTATTTTTCTGAGACTTGGTCTTTCTCTGTAGCTCTAACCTTCCTGACACTCATTGTGTAGACCAGGCAGGCTTTGAACTCACAGAGCTTGTTCTGTCTCTGCCCCCTGAGTGCTGAATACTATTGTTATTACTTCATTCTTACTATTATTGAGATGATCTCTTGTTACATAGTATAGACTGGCCTTGAACTTTCCGTGATCCTCCTGCCTCAGCCTTCCAAATACTGGGATTACAGGCATACACTCTCAGGACCAGTTGAGTTCAGTTTCTTACATTGAACCAAAGGACTTAATCAAGCAATGTGACGTGCCCAACCTTTTTCCCATCCCTGGGATCCTGGTTTCTTTCTCTCGCCTCTCAGATCCCAAGCTAAATCTGGTAGCCTCCGGCCTCGAGGCCCGAGGTATGCAGAGGGAACTTTAATCAGCGATTACAGCATCCTCATGGACAAGATCCGCCAACTTGAGTTTGTGAACTGGCTGCTGGCCCAGAAGGGGAAGAAGATTGAGTAAGTAACTCCCTGCACTCCTCCTGTCCCCACACCAAACTCTGCTATGTCAACACTGCCTCCTAGGAGACCATTCAGACTGTGAGTTGCACAACCCCACAGACACCTTTTAGTCAGTGAGGAGGAGGTAGTGGCCGCGACCTGAGTCTCTGACTGGGCAATAGAGATGTCTGGTGCAGATGAGGTGTTCTCCTGTCCTTTATTTCTAAAGAGAAGAACAAGAGACGAGTGTAGAAGCCCCAGATGGTCCCCAGACTTCTGGAGATGAAGGCAAAAGGAGCTGGGTTGCATGATGGCTTCGGATTCTGTAGATAAATCACCATTGTGATTCTCCCAATCTATGCATAACCTTGTTGTGCTGCTGTTTCCTCAGCCTGGTGGATTCAGAGGAGCCCTCCGTGATGGAGGCAACTGAACACAAGCAGTCATGGTGGGGGATATGGGTTAGGATGTGGAGGAAGAGGCACTGTTGTTCTTACTGTTGAGGTATCAAAGATGTCAGTGTCCCTGGGTGGGGGACTTCCAACTGTTCCTCCAGTTGGCTCACCCCCAAATCGTCTTCATCTCATCAGCTGGAAACACAACATCACCAAGAGAGAGGCCCAGGCCTTGGAGCAGGCAGGACAATCTGAGAGAAATGAGGAGACAGAGGGACAACAGAGGTGAGTCCACCATGAGGAGAGAGGGGAACAGCCTCCAGCCCATTGGCTTCACTGCTCCCTGAAGCAGGTCTTTTCTTTGGACCACTAACCAGCTCCCAAATCGTGAAGGGAGACTTGATTTAGTTATGAATGCTCAGCCTTAGCTTATGCTTGTACCATTAGCTCTTATAACTTAACCTATTTCTCTTTATCTACATTTTGTTTTGAGGCTTTTTTTCCTTTTCCTAAGCTGTGTCTGGCTACTGGAAGCTAGCTGGCAACTGACGGGCTTATTGGTCCTAGGTGATTCCCTTTCTTTCTTCCCTGTTCCTTTCTTCCTCTTCTCCAGAGCCCAGATTCCATCTACTTGTTCTCTTTCCCTGACAGTTCCTGCTCTCCCTCTACTGCCAAGTTATTGGGGTTTTTTTTTTTTTTGGTTAAAGATTTATTTATTATGTATACAGTGTTCTACCTACAGGACAGAAGATGGCACCAGGTCTCATTAAAGGTGTTTGTGAGACACCATGTCATTGCTGGGTATTAAATGCAGGACCTCTGGAAGAGCAGCCAGGGCTAGTTATTCCCTCTGAGTCTTCTCTCCATCCTCTGTGGTCAGCTTTTTATTAGACCAATCAGGTGTCTTCTGCAGGTAAGGTGAAAGAGCAGCGTGTCTTTACATAACTAAACAAATGCAACACAAATAAATGGAACACACTTTTATATGGTTAAGTAGTGCACAACAGCGCCCTCTCTCAGGCTGCAGAGGAGCGCTGGGACTCCCCCATAGGAACCCCCTTCTCATGGGGAGGTGGTGGCGCACGCCTTTAATCCAGCACTCGGGAGGCAGGAACAGGTGGATCTCTTTGAGTTTGAGGCCAGCCTGGTCTACAAAGTGAGTTTGGGTCAGCTAGGACTGTTTCACAGAGAAACCCTGTCTAGAAAAACAAGAAAACAAACAAAAACAACACATTTAAGGAGCAGGGATACAGGGGGCTGGAGAGATGGCTCAGTGGTTAAGAGCATTGCCTGCTCTTCCAAAGGTTCTGAGTTCAATTCCCGGCAACCACATGGTGGCTCGCAACCATCTGTAATGAGGTCTGGTGCCCTCTTCTGGCCTGCAGACATACACACAGACAGAATATTGTATACATAATAAATAAATATAAAAAAAGGAGCAGGGATACAAACAATATGTCTCATAGCGTTGGGATGGAATCATGTATTGTTATTATTATTATTTTTTGATTTTTCTATCATGTGGGTCCTGTGGGTGGAACTCAGGTTGTCCGGACTGATAGCAAACCCCTTTATTTGCCAAACAATCTGACCCGTCCCTGAATTCACTATTATTATTATTATTATTTTACTAATTTACTTATCTCTATTTTTATGTTCTTTGGTGTTTTTCCTGCATGTATGTGTGACAGTGTCAGATCTTGTAGTTATAGACAGTTATTAGCTGACATGTGGGTGCTGGGAATTGAACCTGGGTCCTCTGGTAGAGCAGATGGTCCTCTTAGCCTCTGAGACTTAACTTCAACACCTAGTTTTTGCTTCTTTTGTTTTTGTTTGTTTTGAAACAGGGTTTCTGTGTAGCTTTGGAGCCTGTCCGGAGATAGCTCTTGTAGACCAGGCTGTCTTCAAATTCAAACAGATCCACTTGCCTCAACCTCTGAGTGCTGGAATTAAAGGCGTGGGCCACCACCACCCTGATTTATTCATATTATTGATATTCAAAGGTGTTCTTTCTCTGTAGCTCTAACTGTCCTTGGCCTTGAACTCACAGAGCTTGGTCTGTCTCTGCCCCCTGAGTGCTGAATACTATTGTTATTACTTCACTCTTACTATTATTGAGATGATCTCTTATTACATAGTATATAGACTGGCCTTGAACTTTCAGTGATCCTCCTGCCTCTGCCTTCCAAGTACTGGGATTACTCACAGTGAGTTGAGTTCAGTTTCTTACATTGAACCAAAGAACTAAATCAAGCAATGTGATGTCCCCAACCTTTTTCTCATCCTTGGAATCCTGGTTTCTATCTCTCGCCTCTCAGATCCCAAGCTAAATCTGGTAGCCTCCGGCCTCGAGGCCCGAGGTATGCAGAGGGGACTTTAATCAGCGATTACAGCATCCTCATGGACAAGATCCGCCAACTTGAGTTTGTGAACTGGCTGCTGGCCCAGAAGGGGAAGAAGATCGAGTAAGTAACTCCCTGTGCCCTCCTGTCCCCACACCAAACTCTGCTATGTTCATATTGCCTCCTAGGAGACCATACAGACCGTGAGGTGCACAACCCCACAGACACCTTTTAGTCAGTGAGGAGGAGGTGGTGGCCGCGTCCTGAGTCTCTGACTGGGCAATAGAGATGTCTGGTGCAGATGAGGTGTTCTCCTGTCCTTTATTTCTAAGGGGAGGAAATAGAGAAGAGCGTAGAAGCCCCAGAGGGACCCTAGAGGTCTGGCGATGAAGGCAAAAGGTGCTGGGTTGCCTGTTGGCTTCGGACTCTGTAGATAAATCACCATTGTGCTTCTCCCAACCTATGCCAAACCTTGTTGTGCTGCTGTTTCCTCTGCCTGGTGGATTCAGAGGAGCCCTCCGTGATGGAGGCAACTGAACACAAGCAGTGGTGGGGGGTAGGGAGTTAGGATGTGGAGGAAGAGGCACTGTTGCTCCTACTGTTGAGGTATCAAAGATGTCAGTGTCCCTGGGTGGGGGACTTCCAACTGTTCCTCCAGTCGACTCACCCCCAAATCGTCTTCATCTCACCAGCTGGAAACACAACATCACCAAGAGAGAGGCCCAGGCCTTGGAGCAGGCAGGACAATCTGAGAGAAATGAGGAGACAGAGGGACAACAGAGGTGAGTCCACCATGAGGAGAGAGGGGGAACAGCCTCCAGCCCATTGGCTTCACTGCTCCCTGAAGCAGGTCTTTTCTTTGGACCACCAACCAGCTCCCAAATCGTGAAGGGAGACTTGAATTAGTTATGAATGCTCAGCCTTTGCTTATGCTTGTACCATTAGCTCTTAGCTGGCGACTGACAGGCTGACTGTTCCTGGCCCTGGGTGCTTCCCTTTCTTTCTCCCTCTTTCTTTTCTCCCTCTTCTCCAGAGCCTAGATTCCTTCTGTTTGTTCTCTGTGCCTAACGGTTCCTGCTATCCCTCTAATTCCAGCTATTGTGTTTTTTGTTTTTGTTTTTGGTAAAGATTTATTTATTATGTATACAGTGTTCTGCCTGCAGGTCAGAAGAGGGCACCAGGTCTCATTACAGATGGTTTTGAGCCATCATGTGGTTGTTGAAAATTGAATGCAGGCCCTCTGGAAGAGCAGCCAGGATTCTTATTTAACCTCTGAGGCATATCTCCAGCCTCTACCGGTCAGCTTTTTATTAGACCAATCAATTCGACAGACAAGGTGAAACAGCAGCATGTCTTTACATAATTAAACAAGTGCAACATAACAAATATAACACACTTTTATATGGTTAAGTGATCCACATCAGCGCCCTCTCTCAGGCTGCAGAGGAGTGCAGGGACTCCCCCATAGGAACCCCCTTCTCTAAGCTCAAAAGAGTAAAGTCCTGGAGGATGCCCTGAGGACTTTCTAAAATCTGTGACTGAATGATATTCTTGGATTCATTGTAGCCAGGGGAGCAGGGAATGAGGGACCTTAGAGTTGGCTTCTCCTTGCCAAGCCTCAGGAAGGCAGTTTGGGATCCAGGATATTCTCCCTAAGCCAGACCCCTGCAATCAGCCTCCCGTTCTGGGAAGAAGTGATGAATGGATGCTCAGGGACGGTCTCTCTGGGGTCACTGGGATGCAGTCTGCGATGCTGTTAGAGGTGGTGGGATAAGGTATGTCACTGCAATACTTTAGTTTATTGTGCCTGAATTGAGGACCATATATTCTGTGGTTGTACAGAACTAGATAGGGTCCCACACAAGAGAGGCTAGGGGTCTGAGAGTGGAGATAGCCCAAGGAAGCCAGTTGTGTTTGCTGCCTAGTAGGTGTTCGCACATGCTCTCATCCCAACACTCTAGAGGCAGAGGCAGCAAAATTCGGTTTACATAGTAAGTTCTGGGCCAGTTAGGGTTACAGAGTGAGACTCTGTCCAAAAACAAACCATCCAGGCTCCTGCAATCTCTCTCCTGTGCAGTTTCTTGCCCAAGAACCCCAGTTATGAAGATGTGCTCAGGGGCTTGCCTGAATGGTGGACCAAATAGAGCTCTGCCGGCTCAGGAGGGGGACACCAGGCTATGGGGGTGTTGCAAGATTGTTAGTTAGAAGTTTAGGCTTCCAGGTGACACACAATATGTGTGTGTTTCTCTCATTGACTGTGTGCACATGTATGTCTTGTTGGGAATTGAACCCAGGGCTCTGGAATTGCTACGGAAATGCTCTACCTCTGAGTCTTAGCCCGGGTTGGTCCAGAGCGCCCTGTGTAAACTAGATTGGTCTCAAATTCATGATCCTTGTGTCTCCTCAGCACTGGAGTTATAGGTGTGTGCCACTACACGCACTGTTATCCTTAGACCTCATTTTTATCTATGTCCAAACATACACCAGCAAAGTACCTACCCATTCAGAACCTCAGCATATTGATTAAAATCAGAGCTATAATGGGGGTGGGTCTCACACCTGTCACCTAGCCCTTGGTGGGAGGACCTCATTAAGATTGTCTACAAGCCCGAGTCCAGTCTACACCAGTGAGCTCTAAAACAGCCAGGGCTATGTAGTGATAACCTACCCCCCAAATTAAAGCTAAAACAACAAAAAGAAAAAAGAAAAAGAAAACCGTATCTGGGCATGGTGGCCAGACCTTTGATTCCAGAACTTGGGAGTAGAAGCAGGAGAATGTCTTAGTTTGGGGCCAGTCTGTCCTACAAAGCAAGTTCTAGGACAGCCAGAGCTGAAACACAGAGAAACCCTGTCTCAAAAACAAACAAAGAAAGGTTATTTGCAGGTAGGAGTGGTTTCTCTATGCCTGGGCACCAGGATAAATTTCCTGCGCTGCCTCTTGGTAACTACCTCTCTTTCCTTGTCTCCCCTCTTCCAGGTCTGAGTGACTGACCTAGCCCAGAGGAGGACTGGACTCTGCCCTTTGCTTGCTCAGCTCCTGCTTCTGCCCTGGTCCAAAGTCCAAAGTGTCTGAGAGAAGCAAACCAATAAAGTCTTGAGCTAAAGTAAATCCTGGTGTCTATTCTGAAAACTTATTTAAATGTCAGCTGAGCCCTTACTGGGCACGGTTGTGTGTATCCTGGGTGTGTCCATGCCTCCCGAGGAAAGCAACACTTCCAATCATGCCTCTGCGCATGCTGCAAGCATACTGGAAAGTCAACGTAGACAGGAGGGATGCCGATGGAATCACTGTTTGTAATCATGAAGCAGACTGACCCAATGCAGCCCTTCATGCTAACCAAGCATGATGTCACAAGCCTGTCAAACCAGTGCTGCAGAGGGGAAGGCAGGAGGATCAGGAGCTCAAGGACAGACTTATCTACTCCAGGCTGCCTTAATGTTTCAAAAGCAAGCAAACACAAATAAAGGCAGGCTCTTTCATACATGGGCCTTCCAAGCAGCGGAGACAAACGCATCGTTCCACAGCCAGCAAGCCTTCATCTTCAAACACACACACACACATGCATCGTTCCACAGCCAGCAAGCCTTCATCTTCAAACACACACACACATGCATCGTTCCACAGCCAGCAAGCCTTCATCTTCAAACACACACACACTACTAACCACACAGCGTGATGATTTGCCTGAAGAAAGACAGAAAAAGTCCTATTTTTTGTTATTTTGATTGGCTGTTGAGAGAGGGTTTCTTTGTGTAGCGTTAGATCCTGTCCTGGAACTTGATCTGACCAGGCTGGGATTTAAAGGCATTTGCCACCACCGCCCAGCCAGAATAGTTCTTTCTAGGTGTAATGTGGTGAGAAAATGGCATTTAAGGTGAGACTGGGGGACATGCCAGGGAATGAATGGGCTGGAGAGAGCATTTAGTGCTAAGAATGAGAGAACCGGGTTTAGTTCTGAGAACCTTCTCCCAGTGGCTCACATGGCCTATAACTCTTTTTTTTTTTTTTTTTTTTATTTATTTATTTTTTTGGTTTTTCGAGACAGGGTTTCTCTGTAGCTTTGGTGCTTGTCCCGGAACTAGCTCTTGTAGACCAGGCTGGCCTCGAACTCCCAGAGATCCGCCTGCCTCTGCCTCCCGAGTGCTGGGATTAAAGGCCACCACCGCCCGGCCTGGCCTATAACTCTTGCTCCAGGAGATCCAACATGCCCTTCTGGCCTCACCTATGTATAGCCCCACACAGACGCACATACAAACTCATAAATTAAAAAATAAAAAAGTCAATCAATATGAAGGCAAGCAATGTGGAGAGTACATACAAGAGCTAGGTAGCAGTCAGGCCTCAGGTCTGAAAGGGATGGTGCAGGCCTGAAACACAGCCCTGGGGACAATGAGGTGGGACATTGCTGCAAGTTTGAGGCAACCTGGACTGCAGTGACAGGATGATGTAGTGACACCTTGCCTCAAGACAAAATAAAATGTCAGGTGTGGTGGCCCACATATTTAATCCTAGCAATCTGGAGGCAGAGGCAGGCAGATCTCTTTGAGTCTGAAACCAGTCTGGCTTATACAGTGAGTTCAAGGGCAGCAAGGGCTACACAGTTGGACTTTATCTTAAAACAGAAATTTAACTTGGAATGGTGGTGCACAACTTTTATCCCAGTATTTGGGAGGCAGAGGCAGGCAGATCTCTGTGAGTTCAAGGCCAGCCTGGTCCACAACAGCAAGTTACAGAACACAAAGAAACACAAAGAAATCCTGTCTCAAAAACCCAAAATTATATATTCTTTACAAATACAATTTGAATTTAATTATTTTGGGGGAGTGGTTGGAGGGTAGGTTCAGAGGTAATTAGGAGTACTGACTGTTCTTTCAAAGAACCTGGGATTCCATTCACAGCATCTACAAGACAGTTCACAACTGTCTAGAATTCCAGCCCCAAGGGAATTCTTCTGACATTTTAGAGCACTGACCACATACAGTATACATACACACAGGCAAAACATACATACATATAAAATTTAAAAATAGGGGGCTGGAGAGATGGCTCAGTGGTTAAGAGCATTGCCTCCTCTTCCAAAGGTCCTGAGTTCAATTCCCGGGAACCACATGGTGGCTCACAACCATCTGGAATGAGGTCTGGTGCCCTCTTCTGGCCTGCAGACATACACACAGACAGAATATTGTATACATAATAAATAAAAAAAATTTAAAAATATTTAAGTTTTTTAGACTTTTGAAATTAATATCATCATCATCATTATTTACTCCTTATTTTCCAAGACAGAGTTTCTCTTGGTAGCCTTTGCTGTTCTGGAACTTGATTTGGTCAGACCAGGCTGATCTTGAACTCAGAGATCTGTTTGCCTCTGCCTCCAAACTGCTGGGATTAAAAGGGCGTGCTACACCATGTCTGGATGACTTCTAAATTTTCATGCATTTTTGGTGATTTTGTTTCTTCCCTTCTAATCTTCTGGAGCTTCTGAGGTCTGTACCATGCAATAAACCTCATTGCTCGGAGGTTTATTTTCCTCTTCCCCTCTCCCTGGGCGAGAGCCACACAGCAACTAAAGGCTGAGCTGTGCCTTCATCCTTACTACGTAGTTTTTACATTTATTTATTATTTATGTGTATTCCTGTGTGCATGGGCATGCATGTTTGCATCCATGTGTGTGCATTGGAGCTCTTGGGGAGGACAGAGGACAACTTTCAAGAGTTGGTTCTCTCCTACCACGTGGGTTCAATGATGCCACTTCTGATTGGTCATCAGGCTTGGCATCAAGGCAAGTGTCTTTTGATGCTGAGTGCTCTTCTTATTACTATATTTAGTGAAGCCTTTAGGATTTATTAAAAATAGGTTTTAGGGGCTGGAGAGATGGCTCAGAGGTTAAGAGCACTGACTGCTCTTCAGGAGGTCCTGAGTTCAATTCCCAGCAACCACATGGTGGCTTATAACCATCTGTAAGGAGATCTGGTGCCCTCTTCTGGCCTGCAGGCATGGAGGCTGAACACTGTGTACATAATAAATAAATCTTTAAAAAAAATAAAAAAAATAAAAATAGGTTTTAGTCAGGCAGTTGTGGCACATGCCTTTTAATCCCAGCACTCAGCAGGCAGAGGTAGGCAGATCTCTGAGTTTGTGGCCAGCCTGGTCTATAAAGCAGATTTCAGGACAGCCAGAGCCATACAGAGAATCCCTGTCTGGAAAAAAAAAACTATTATCACTATTATTATTAAATATTTATTTTTATATTTCACATTTTTATTGTTTTTTTGTGTTTGAGAGAGAGGGTCTCACTATGTAATTCTTGTTTTGAAACTCACTATGGGCTGGTTGGTGGTGGCTCACACCTTTAATCCCAGAGGCAGGAGGATCTCTGTGAGTTCAAGGCTAGCTTGGTCTACAATTGCTAGTTCCACCTTTCTTTTCCAGCTCTCTCCCAAAGAGGTAGCTGCTGCCAGGGTTCCTCTCCTCTCCCCCTCTTCTTCTCTCTATTCTTTCCTTGTTCCCCTTCTCTTTCCCTCTCCCCTTCCTTTCCACAACACACTAAATAAATATCCAATCTAAAAAAAAAAAAGAGATAGTAGCTTCCAGAACACGTTCCAAAGCTACACAGAGAAACCCTGCCTCAAAAAAAAAAAAAAAAAAAGAAGAAGAAGAAGAGAAAGAAGAAAGAAAAACTCACTATGTAGACCAGGCTGGCCTCCAACTTAGAGAACTGCTAACCTCTTCCTCCTGAGTGCTGGGATTAATGGCATGAAGCCACCATGACAGGCATTTAAAATTATTTTTTCTTTCTTTCTTTTTTTTTTTTTGAGACAGGATTTCTCTGTAACTCTCTGCCTCCCAAGTGCTGGGATTAAAGGCATGCGCCAACACCACCCAGCTAAAATTATCTTTGTGTTAATTTCTTTCTATATGTGAACTCTTTTTTTTAAATAATTTATTTTTATTTTATTTACATTGATGCTTTGCCTGCATGTATGTCTGTGTGAAGGTGTTGGGTCCCCTGGAACTGGAATTACAGACAGCTGTGTGCTGCCATGTGGGTGCTGAAACTGAACCCTGGTCCTCTGGAAGATAGCTCTAAACCACTGAGCCATCTCTCCAGTCCCTATATGTGAACTCTTAAGAACAACAGTGTTTGCCTGTGTGGGAAGTGGGTGCCAGGACTGGTCTTGAGCGCCTGGTTCTTCTGTCTTCCAAGAGCTTGAATTACAGTTGTACTTACCAGATAGAAATTACATTTTTGTTTGTTTGAGACAGGGTTGCTCCGTGTAGCTCTGGCTGTCCTGGAATTCACTATGTAGACCAAGCTGGCCTCGAACTCTCAGCAATTTGCCTGCCTCTGCCTTCTGAGTGCTGGGAATAAAGGCATGGGCCACCACCGCCTGGCTAAGGATTTAATATCTCAGAGGGAAGTTTGGATCTACATTTGTGGGGTCTTGGATATTTTAAGGGAACAACAAAGACTCAAAAAGAGTTATATACTTTTTTCTCCCTTTGTATAATGTTCTTTCTACAAGCCAGCCAATGTAAAAGACTCTCTATTTAGTTTTTAATTGCAGTGATCTCATCTAAAGCCTCACCAGCTCTTTAACATGGTAGCAAGTGTTAACTGTGCATCACACTGCCTGTGAGAGGCAGACAAGAAGTCCATGCAGTAAGCCGGTCTGCCACAGCACAGAACGCTTTCCGACTTAATAAAGTTTACCTGTTGAATTCTTTTGCAGAGATTTTGAGTTAGATTAAGAATGTACAGCTAAACTGGGCGGTGGTGGAACACATCTTTAATCCCTCAGCTGGGCGTAATGGCACATGCATTTAATCCCAACATTCTAAGGTATGGACAGATCTCTGTAAATTCGAAGCCAGCTTGGCTTACAACGTGAACTCCAGCCTAGCCAAGGATGTATTGTTAGACCCTGTCTGGAAAAAAAATGGCTCCTTTCATGGTCAACACAAGATTTGGTGATGTCCCAGAAGCATGTATTGCTCTCTAGGCGCTGGAGCCTCAGAACAGCAGGCACCCACGTTCGTGGATGCATAGAGAAATACAACACAGACCAGGGTTC